GCTCACATGCTTTCTTCTATAGTTTTTAAAATCTTACCGTATAGGCTACAGCCTATAAAAGAGAGTCATGTAACATTAAGAGTTTAAATTTGAAAGAGAGTTCGCAAATTTTTTTTAAAGTGATTGCACGCTTCTTTTTTTTTATGTTTGTAAGATTCTCAAAAAGTGATGACTTCTGTTTCAACTTATTTTCAATCTGTGCAGCATTCTTATACTTCGAATTCAAATGTTTAGCACGTTTATCAAAGCCCATGTAGACAATTTTGTTTATGGGCTTCAAAATAATTCTCGATGATGCATGATGCATTTGCAAATTTCTCAATGCACTTGTACTACAAATCTGCACGATAAACTTGCACATTTTTTTATTGATTCATGTGATTTTTGGTGGGCTTGGTACACTTGTATGGTACATTTGTATGCTTCTGGGTGCATATGCATGTTATATTTGCATGAATCTTAGTGCATTGCATTGGAATTTTATGATGATCTTAGGAGACTTAAAATTATTAGGAATTCATTATTTGCATGAATGTTTGTCTTTAAAAGGCATGCATATTTTCTTTCAAAGCCATTATTTTGTCTACTATTTACTTAGAAGTATGTTACAGATCTAGTAACATGTTTAGCGAACTAGAATCTTTTAGTTATCTAGTAGGTACTACATGAAGTGACAACTTTCTGTGTTTGTATTTTGGTACCATAGAACCAATTTTCTCCTATAAATAATATGGCTTTCCCAGTTCATTTCCCCATTCCAAGTTATGTCCACATAATTTCATAAGGTTCCACGTGTTCTAGGAACAAAGGGAAGCCTTCAAATCACCTATAAGTATGCTCGCCAAGAAGGTTGAGCAAGTCGATGCCTTAAAGACATTGCAGACAGAATTTTCAAAATCCACAATGCCAAAAAATAAGCTTATCATCAGCTCAATGTTTGTCGCCTTGCAAGATTTCCATAGCTCACGTGCATCAAATTTTGTCCCCGTCTCATGCGCGTGAGTAAATTCTCATCATTTTAACATGCCGCTATATAGAAGATATGGGGTATCTTCCTTGGGGTTTTTTAATATTTCGAACGCATTGGCGCAGTTCATCTTGCAGATGGGTGCAGTCAGTTTCATGAAAAGAGAGATGTTTAAATAAATTTGATAGTGTGATGCATCTCGAACCCTATTTGTACGATGCAGTGATCATTTTTTGTCGCTTTCACCACCATTGAATAGATAGTTTGTAGAGTAGATATATAGGTCAGCAGTTTTGTTCTTTTTATATACACTTTTTTGCTTATTCCTATAAATTTTAAGCAAGCAACAATGACACAGAATTTACCTCTTATGAGTATACAAAAATATTGAATGTGTCAATAACACTTGAATCAAAAACTAAGAAATCTCTCCTAACATCAAGATCAAAGATCAATGGATGGCCAGGTACAATGGACATGAGTTCTTCATATTCCAACAAAATCTAAAATTAACAAACACGGAGGCTTGGTTCTTATCTAAACCAGCTCAAAAATATGATGAACGAGGGGTTTTCACAGCTAATTTTCATCAAACTCCAAATCACCTTGTGTTGGTTTGTCTGACTCAAGGAAGCTAAGCTCGACGAAAGTGACATCATGATTGTTGAAGCGATATCTCAGTTTTACAAAGCTCAAGCATGACAATAGATGAGGTGTGCGTCGGTGATGGCTTTTAATAGCAACAGCTTCAAGAGCAGCATCAAATGCATAGAGCAAACAACCTCAAGCCCACAATTCCACCTTGTGCATTCGAGCAACCCTGTTACTCATCATTGCGCTCATGCACATTCCACCTTGTGCATGACCAACCAAACACAGGCGCACGGCCTCACGAACGTGGCTCACATTGCACTTCTCAGCAACTCGAGTATATCTATATCTCTAAGGCTACAAGTGTGGCGGATTCTCACCCACTCTCAAGCATTGATGCCTTGTGGTATTGTCATCTCGTTATTATGCTACGTTTGGGCTTTCAAGCTTGATTCCTCCTAAAAAAGGATGACCCTCTCATTGCCTTCTACTTTTTTTCTTTCCTATCATGGATTTAGGCTCTTCCTCTCACATTCAACACCATGCACAATCATTTCTTTCAAATATGTATGGTTCCAATGCTAACATTCCAGGATCAAGTTTAGAGCCTTCACTCATCATCAATTTTTAGAGGATCACACCCATTCCTCATTCCAAATTGGCACCTCATATGGTTTCGACCCAATTCAATCTTCGCACCACGGCCTTCTAGTAGTTCATTACTTTTGAGGAGACTATCCTGATTTCTCACTTTTGATAATTGTGCCTCATGTCGCTCCGCTTCTCATTCCTTCACAAATATTGTTGTTGGCTAAATGTTTCCTGATTGCATCCCCCTTCATCCAACCACTTTGCCTTATTTTTTAATCAAGATTCAGCTACTCAATATAAGCAACCATCCACATAACAAAAAGCAAAAGTGTACTCATTTTCAATATATATAGTAATTTACTTTGTTGTATGCAATGTGTTCTTTAACGAAAGGGCTAGGTGAAGGAATCGATCATATGAATAAGCATGTAAGATTCGTTGTTTTATTTTAGAGAAAATGCCGTATGAACATCTATTAGAGAGAACAATGATATATAATGCCCGGTGAATGTAAGATTTTAAAATTTATAAATGAAAGCAAGATGCAAGGTTTATTTTAACAAAAGTGGTTAGAAAAATAGTGGCCTTGTGAATTGATGCAAATTTTGATTATGTATAATATTAAGAAAATTATTTCAAGAAGCTAGTTTGAGATAATTATATTTCACTCTCTATCTACAAATTAATATGATCAGCTACAGTGTATAGGTTATGCTATTCGGGACATTGCAAGTTACATGTGGATTTGTGCTCCTCTTACGGTCTCTACTTTGGCTAACATCATGATAACAACAGAATTCGTCACTTTCATCTTCACATCTTGGAGAAAGAAACATTTAAACCTATCAGCAGAAATACTTGAGATGATTCATCCTCTCAACTTTATGGAACATTTGGAATGAAAGAAACGTGGGAATAACTTTAAAAAAGAGAAAAAAAAGAAATTCTGCAAACGTTATTTGGTATACCACCATATCTATTGCCTACTTCTAGAATATGGGGGAAAAGAGGATATTATCAAATATAATATGAGAAACCATGGCTTCCCGAATAATCCAAAGCATGTTATTGCCATATATGTTTAGATTCTTTCTTTCTCTATAGTACCAACAGTGTTTTGAGTATTAATCATATCTAGTAATCACTTTGAGAATTGCTCTTTTACTTCATGAGAAGGGTATAATCCAGCTTTTTATAAAAAAACTGAATGAATAGAAAGAAAAAAAGAACAAATTTCATTGGCAAACAAGCTATCAAATCCTAATGAAATTAACCTTACACAATAATAACCTTTGAAATCAGAGAAATTATAATATATTGCACAGCATGAGGTAACATAGGTAGCAAATCTAAGAATACGACAACTACGATATCAAATAATCATTAATGGTTAAAAAAAATAAACCAAACAAAAAGCCTTCCACTTGAAAAGGAGATCGTCATTCCCAGAATACTTCAATCCTCACTTGATCAGGACTAAAATCCAAAAATGATAAAAAAAAAAATTTAAAAAAAAAAACTTCAGACCCAGAAAAGTAAAATTTCATTCAGTCAAAAATATTTTAATGCCTCAAAACACTCTTATTTATGGACAATTGTACCGGGTAAAAATAATAAGAAACATGAATGCCCCAGCAACAACCAACTTACAAGCCCCATAAAGCATCAACCATAAGAAAAGAAACATGATAGAATTGGAACAATATCTTAGTCGCAACACTGCTATAATTATAGTCACAACTCAAAACACCCTTATTTACAGACTCTTGCACCAGGTAAAAAAAAAAAAAAACAAGAATTTAAGCATACACCCCAACCACAACCGAAACACAAGCCCGATAAGCATCAAACATACATAAGAAACCTAGAGGAATTGGAACAATATCTTCGCAACCAGCTATAGTCCAAAATTAAAGAAAGGTCGCAGAAGAGGGGAAACTGTCGTCTGGGATAAAAATGTCATAAGCAATTTCAAAATAGCCATCAATGATTGCAAGTTTGCTACAATTCCAGGACAATACGAACCCCAATATGCATAAGCTTCTTGAAATCTACATCATAAAGTTTTAGAGAAACTCAAGAATATCATTAAGTATACATGCAACACATTTATGATCCACCATTTTATGAAATTGGGACTGTCATATCTATAAAAAGCTTCTAAATATTAATGTCCATGGTTTAACTATAAGTTCCTCATTTATCCAAAAAAAAAGAACATCAAGCAAGAAAGATGGCCTCATAAGGAATTTAAAAAAAAAAAGTTAAAAACAGTCCTACAATGCATATTTTATAAATCACGTTGAAGCTACTTAATTAAGCCAGAAATCTTGACCAATAAAAGATCATTACAGCGATAAAGATATTGTCAGTGTTATAATCTCCTGGACCAAACCAATTAATGGTTTGCTTCTTAATAACCAAACCGCACCAAAAAAATGTTAAAAATAGTCGTACAATGCATATTTTATATTTATAGTTGAAGCTACTAAAGTAAGCCAGAAACCTTGACCTATAAAAGATCATCACAGGGTGTTATAATCAAGACATTGTCGGTGTTATAAATCTTGACCTATAAAATATCATTACAGCAATAAAGCTCAAAGTGTATTCTTGTAATTGGTCCACATTTATCAAGAAACACAACTGAATCAAAATTCTAATGCAAGAGTTATATCCCTCTGAGACCACGCAAATCTATATAATACGATCATGTAGATTACCTAAAATGGAAATACTGTATTTTGAGGGAATAGCAGCCATAGAAATTACAATGCCCGACACAAAATTAAGCTGAAAATAACAAAAAATAGTATCAGATCCATAATCACAAAGACATGGCAATAAGTACCTTCCAAGTAAGAATAGACAACCATCCCTCAAAATCAGCTTGACTCCAAGGCCGAGGAGCATCAGGGCTAGAACCTTCATCCTGGAAGACCTTTGCTACATGTATAAGTCTATGGTACCGAGCTGGAGAGACATGAAATCCCAACGATGGCAACCGTGCAGCAAGTCTCATTGATGGAAAAAATGGACTTTCTGAATGAATCTAAAATTTAAGAGAAAAAAAGTGAACCAAAAAGAAGGCATTAGCATTCCAATGCTTTCATAAGGAAAAAAGAGACAATGTCTAAGAGATGTCAACCTGCTGAAGCTTTAAGGCGATTCCACATTTATCAAGAACAGGATAAAAATTACAAATTTGTGCTTGACTAGAGGAGATATCACTTAGTGTTTCTTTCCAGTTATAGTCACCATCAACCAAGAAAGCAGACATGTCACTTAAAATCAAACTGAACTGCAAATACATGGCGTTCTCTTCAGAGGAATCACCATTCCAATAATCCTGAAACGAATATAATGATATCAGTGAGAAAGTTACAGTCTACCAAAAGTGCTGGAATAAAAAAATTATTTTAGGGCAAGGCTCCAACATTACCTGTGTGCACAGCATCAGATTTCCCAAATCAAGAAGAAGTTTTGTTGCATGATGGTCGTCAGGGTAAAAATCGGTGGGAATAGTAATCTTAGGAGCCGAAATATCCAAATCAATAAGAAACCTACAAGAATTTATTATTATTATTATTATTTCAAAATTATAACAAAGTGTCTTGGTTCTCTTCGGATAACAAATTGTCATGTCCTAAATAATTATATTGAGTAACCCACATTTTGGAATCGGAGTAAAAATATCATCGTTTTTGCACCTAATGTCAGCAGGCTTCCAGCAGATTTTTTTTTATATTTTCCTGCGTTTTTTTTTTTACATTCCTATTGTGAGTATTCTCCATCCATACAACGATTCCCCCAGCTCACTTTATACCAAAGAAAGAAGAACCTCTCGCTTAAGCGAAAAACTCAAATATCCAATAATTTTCTTGCCATCACTCTCATTTTTTAATTTACTAGTACTGAGAATCATCAGTTTGTCATGAACACCATCCCACGTGCCACGTTCTTTCTTTCTCTTCCAGATTTCCCCTATCTCCTAAAAAATGTCAACAAAAATCTCAAAATATGAAATTTGCATTTAAATTTCAAAATTAATTCAACTCCTTAACTATTTCCAAATATCCCTCCACTAATTAGCCAACCCAAATCATAATTAAAACTAAGCCAATAATATTTGATCTTATCTAAGAATTGGGCAAGACAAGAGATGAATTTCATGGAAGTAACAAAGCATTAATCCCAAAGCTCCATACCCCCCCCCCCCCCCCCCCCCCCCCCCCCCCCACCACAATGCATGCAAACTAACGTAATATTCTTTCTCCTCTGATTTCAGTGTGCCAAAGTGTTGATTGCTTCAAAAATTGGAAGAGAGAAAAGATAGAGAAGAGATCTTTCTTCTTTTCTTAAAATTGTTAGAATTTCTCTTACGATATAATATGCCTCTAATAGAAGAAACTGCCATCAAAGGCAAGGTTTGGCCATTATCTGCAATAAGCTATCAATGTCATCATAAGTTGATTAACTTTTCTTTCATCAATTGGCAAGTCTAGTGTCATGCATGATTCAGTCCACCTCATAATTAGCATAATATCAAGTTTAACGCATGAATTGGAAGGAGCATTTAATTTCTTGGGATGTAAGATTCCTAGATTGTGTGTAATTGATATAAATTAGCTAAAGATTGATCTAACTCTATAATATACTTAATTGATTTATTTATATAAGAACTGTATGCAATTGAAATTTGAAATCATCAATTTATTTATTTTACATTGTTTCCAGGATTAGCCTTTTACTTGCATTGCATATAGCATTTACAGTAACTTTCACATCAAGAATTTCAACACATAAAGAGGTAAATATGAAAGACCACTTAAATATGCGAAATAAATTTAAACATATGGTGTATAATGTAGAAAACAAGATGACTATAAGTAAAAAGAATTCTAAAAAATTTAGAATAACTAAGATTTCAAATGAACCAAATTGAAGCAACCATTCATGATATTTCTTCTTGCCTAATGCCCTATAGCGTCTGCCTCCTAGGTACTTCCTCAAAGAAACTTAAATTATTTAGCAGAAACGTGGCAAATCATTTCTCTTAGAACATAACACCAAAGAAATTATGGAGCACCTCTTTGTTCTTAGGCTATAGTAAGATGTCAGCCATCCCCGACATCATCGGACTAAAAATCATATAGATCTTGAAGATATTTGAAATATTACAATAACAAGCATTTATCCCACTATGTGGAATCAATCACATAAATCCTTTTGCTCCATCGTGTCATGTTAAAAATCAAATTCCCATTTAAATCAAATAAAAAGGTCATTTCTAAGATTTTTCAAAGTTTTTTTTAGGTCTACCTCCATCTTTCCTAACATAGGCGGGATCTAATACATCTACTCTCCTAACAGGGTCATCGTAATGCGACTCTCTCTAATATTATCTGCCACTGAAGCTACTCCGACCTTTTCACAAATAAAATCATTTCGCATTCTATCCCCAAGTGTAAAACCACTCATCCAACTGAGCATCCTCATCTCTACAATACCTAACTTGATTTTATGCTTTTCTTTTAATGGCCAACATTTTAAGCCATAAACATTGCTAGTCTCACCACCATCTAATAATTTTTTTCTTAGATCTAAGGCAAGGCCTAATGCATTCCTCCACTTCAAGCATCCAACTTTAATTTTACTAATAATATCCCCATCTCACCATCTCTTTGAAAAATAGACCCGAGATATCTAAAATGTGCATGCTTTTTAATGACTTGATTGCCCAATGTCACAATCCCACTAGTAAATATATTACTAAAATTACACTCCATGTATTTAATTTTATATCTACTCAAACGAAAACCTTTAGACTCCAAGGTTGAAGTCCATAATTCAAGTTTTCTTTCAACTCCCCCTCTAGTCTTATCAATAAGGAGAATATATTTAGCAAAAAGCATACACCAATGTATATCCTCTTGCAAATATATGGTAAGAATATCCATGACAAGCAAAAAGATACGGGCTTAAAGCTGATCCTTGATATAATTCAACTAAAATAGGAAAATATTTGGTCAACCACATTGTGTTTAAACACAAGTAACAGCTCCTATATTCATAGATTTAATTACTTGAATAAAAGAATTATTAACTCCTTTCTTTTCTAGAACTCTCCAGTGCACTTCTCTTGAAACTTTATCATAAGCTTTCTCTAAATAAATAAATATCACATGAATATCATCCTTACCCTCTCCATACTTCTATATCAAACATATTAACAAATGTATATCTTTATAATAGACTTACTCGGCATGAATGCAAACTAATTTCGAGAAACATTAGTATCACGTCATGACCTATGCTCAATTACTCACTCAAACAATTTTCCTCTATATTTGAAATATTAAAAACCATAAAAACATGGAGATTGCAAACACAGTGGAGATTTTCCTAACAATAATTATTCCACTGATTATCACGATGAATGTCAATAGATATCATTAAAGAGATCATGCGGTTCACATACAAGCTCATCATGATGAACATGAATAAATAAAAAAGTAAAGGCCAATGCACCCACATCTAAATAGTAGACAAGATTGAAATTTTTTCCTTAATAAGGTAATGAACATTAATTGTAACAAATATGTTACAAATATATCCACGATTCTATCATACAAAAATAATGATATTTTTGGATATTACTCTTTCTATGCAGCAACAACAACAACAACAACATCAAGCCTTTATCCCACAATGTGGGGTCAGATACATGAATATTTTTCTCGATTATGTTATATTAAAAGTCAAATTCTAATTTAAATCTTTAAAAAAGATCATTTCTAATATTTTCAAACAAAATCTTTTTAGGTATACCTCTACTTTCTTAACATAGGCCAAATCTAATACATCTACTCTCCTAATTGAGTCATCGGAAGCCCCAAGTTTTATGGGTACAAACCATCTAAAGTGACTCTCTCTAATCTTCTCTACCACTGTAGCTACTACAGCCTTTTCACATATAAACTCGTTTCATATTCTATCTCTAAAAGTGAAGCCACTCATCCATCTGAGCATCCTCATCTCTATAACACTTAACTTTATAATTAAGTTTTAATGGTCAATATTCTACGCCATAAAATATTACAAGTTTCACCCCCATCTTATAGAATTTTCCCTTAAGTTTTAGGGGTACTTTTCTATCACACAACAGACCCAATGCATTCCTCCTCTTCAACCATCCAACTTGAATTTTATTAATAATATCCCCATCTATTTCACCATCACTTTGAACAAAAAACTCAACAACAACAAAACAACAAACAACAAACTTTTGTCCCACAACGTGGGGTCGGCTACATGAATCCTTTACGCAATTGTATCCTATTAAAAGTCAAATTCTCATTCAAATCTAATAAGGAAAGATCATTTCTAATATTTTATAATCAAGTCTTTTTAGGTCTACCTCTACCTTTCTTAACATAAGTCAAATCTAATACCTCAACTTTCCTAACCGGGTAATCGGAAGGCATCCGTTTAATGTGACCAAACCATCTAAGGCGACTTTCTCTAATCTTATCTTCCACTGGAGCTACTCCAACTTCTCACGTATATGCTCATTTCATATCACATATCTAGAGTAAAGCCACTCATCCACCTAAGCATCCTCATCTCTGCAACACTTAACTTAGTATTATGTTTCTCTTTTAATGGCCAACATTCGGTACCATAAAGCATTGCAGGTCTCACCACCATCTTATAGAATGTTTCATTAAGTTTGAGGGGGACTTTTCTATCGCACAACAATCCCAATGCATTCCTCCACTTCAACCATCCAACTTGAATTCTGCTGATAATATCCCCATCTATTTCACCATCACTCTAAATAATAGATCCAAGATATCTAAAACGTGTATTCTTATTAATGACTTGATCGCCCAAAATCACAATCCCCTCACTAGGTCTATTACTACTAAAATCACACACCATATATTCAATTTTAGATCTACTCAAGTGAAAACATTTAGACACTAAGGTTGACCTCCATAATTCAAGTTTACCTTCAACTCCCTCTCAAGTCTTATTAATAAGAAGAATATCATCAGCAAAAAGCATACACCAAGGTACATCCTCTTGCAAATGTCTAGTGAGAACATCCATGACTAAAGCAAAAAGATATAGACTTAAGGCTGGTCCTTGATGCAATCCAACCGAAAAAGGAAAATACTTGGTCAAACCACCTTGTGTTTGAACACAATTACACAAGTAATAGCTCCTATATACATATCTTGAATGATTTGAATATAAGCGTTATTAATTCCTTTCTTTTCAAGAACTCTCCATAACACTTTTCTTGGAACTTTATCATATGCTTTCTCTAAATCAATAAATATCATATGTAGATCCTCCTTATTCTCTCTATATTTCTTCATCAAACCTCTCAATAAATATATGGCTTCCATAGTAGACCTACCCGGCATGAATCCAATTTGATTTGGAGAAATAATAGTATCACACAGCAACCTACGCTCCATAACTCAATCCATAGTTTTAAAGTATGACACATTAACTTAATTCCTCTATAATTCGCACACTCTTGTGCATCACC